ACTTTCATACCAGCTTGCCTGGAAGCTGCGTCTTCTGTCCGCCATAACTGTGGTTGGAAACATCTTTAAATTAGGCTGCACTGGTTGATCATCCTTGCACTTACTGATATCTTAAAAGAAATGAATGAAAACATGAGGGTGTAACCGAGAGCATTAGTGGATTCATTCGCTTGTAATTGTATATATTTATTCATTATAATACATTAAGATCATACTGAAAAAAAGATAACTAAAATTAAGTAATTGTTTGAAATCATTGTATTTGTCCTTGATTTGAACAGGTAAATAATATTATCTGCCAATGAGAAAGATTTTTGCTCTTAGAATAGTAAAAAATAATCTCTCTCTCTCTCTCTAAAGTTTCAGATACACTTTACAGGCACTTTACACATAGTCACACAGGTTTATTCAACATCACAAACCTGATGGCTGTGAACTTGATAAATGTGATGGAGGATTCACTGGTTGTCCTTTCTGCTCCTCACTCTCTCCCTCACAGCCTACATCTTCTTCCTCACTCTCAGGATTGAATGCTTCTGTTTCTGACGTGTCAGCTTCCTCACTAACCATCTCCTCCTTCTCTCTTTCATCCTGCTCCTCGGCTCTGTTATCTTCATCCTCCCTCTCTACATTTTTCCTTGCCAACAGTGGTGAAAAATGAGGCAATGTCTCTTTTTCTTTTCATGATTACTGACGTTTCCTGTGCTGCAAGAAAGTAATGGATAATATCTAATTGGCATAACTGTGACAGAATCTTAAAAATCCTTAAGTTTAAAACTAGCAACTTTATATTTAATTCACTGGTAAGAAAGAAAATATTATCAATTCCTAACCCGTATGGACTGCATTAGGCAAAACAATGACGCCAGGTTTCATTGCAGTAAAAACGACAGCAGCACTCAAAGATGAGCCAAACGGCGCATCAAGAAACAATCATATTTCTTGCTTACCTCCGTCTCTTTACACCATTTTCCGTTAGTCGTCCGACTCGTCTGTAGATGCTATTCTTCTTTCTTTTTCTCGTTGAGAAATATTAGCGCGCACCGCACTAAAGATTCCGTGTGAAACGTTGCGGCATATTAGTTCCAGTTTCCGTGTCATCGCATTTGGTTCGGTGCAGGGGCCATAACGGGGACCAGGGCCGGTTCTACAGGGGCACCGGCCCCTGTTGGCCCCTGTCTAAAACCGCCTATGCTGTACTCTATTTAATTCCCTTCCACCAACAAAAGACCTGTGATCTCAGGATAAGTGATTGATGCTTTTCCTTCCCGTAAGGTAGAAAGTTTCCTCTTCTTTATAATAAAATACAGTATGGTGGCTGAGGGGTGCAAATGTGCTGCAAATACATAATTCTGCAGCAAATTTTAAAAAGTAATGCTTTGCCAAAAATTAAGCTTACAAATCCAAATATGTGCCCAACAAACACAAAACACATGCTAAAGAAAAACTGCAAATACATATCTATTTTAAGTAGAGAATAAACAGTATCGGCCCCCATACTGACCCTACTTGTAATGCGTTGGTGAGTGTTGGGATCTGGAGATCTGCCACCTGTCTCCAGCAGAGAGCGCTGTGGGTCTCCTGGGCTGGAGCCTCCAGCACACCTGAGGATCATCAGCCCATCAGGAGACCTCCTACATAAGCAGCAGTCAGACCTGTCTTCTTCGCCGGAGTGTTGACCAGTTTTGGTTAGCGGAACCTGAGCCTCAGTTCACTTTGAGAATCTCTGTCTACTCAAAGAGAGTAACAAGATTCTAACCTGCCTCTGTCTTCTCTGCTCACAGGAAAGCCCGACTGAAGTCTATAGCTCTGGAGGAGCTTTGCTTGGAAACCTGCCTGCCTGCCCTTGGAAGCCAAACCTGAAGATAATCAGTCTGGACTCCCCAGCCAGCTCTCAAGGGAGAGCTAGGACATCTTCTCAAGGTCTGAACATCTCTAGCCTGAAGCTAGACGCTGCTGCTGCTGTGCTCTCTGCTGAACCCATTGACTCTGGACCCAATTGGTTCCCCCTCTCCAGCGATCTGTCTGAACCTCATCAAGGTACAAATCTGAATCAAACACCAAACAATTCATCACAGCTGCTTGGCTAACCAAACAATCCATCCCTGCAGATTCTCAGTGATTCCAGTCCCAGACCAGTACCTGAATCTGCTCTTATTATTTTGTGTGTTTCTCCATTGAATAAACTGTTGAACTTTTACCCCGTTTCCTGTGGTGTTCTGCATGTGGGTTTAAACACTAGAGACCCATCATGACAGTGAGTGAGGTTAGAAGTCAGATAAGTGTGTTTTGTTTCCACGGTATTGGTGTGACAAATAAAATGATCAATGGAATGAATCTATTAAAAAAGACATCCAAGAAGACAGATAGCATAGGGTTAAACACTGGCTGGGATACAGTATCTTGTACCTTGTAAGCAAGATAGTTTGTTAAAAATTTATGAATAAAAAAAAAACTCCCAAGTACATCTTTTCAAAAGATGCATTTAAAACACAGATCTGTTTCCACCAATGACATGCGAAGATGTTTATGAAGTCAACCAATAATGACTGGCTGAAAGCAAACAAACATGGCTGCACCAGTGGACAAATCTATGGACTTTGCTATTCACTCTGCTTTAGCTCTAATATATTTTATTTTGAAAAAAACAAGCAAAAGGACATGATTTTTACCTTTGTGGATGGAAAAGATTAATCTCTCATCTCCACTAGCTGTGAAACAAACCAGGAAGCTACAGAAGGACCTGTTTTATAATCATGTCTCCTTTAGTTGCTCTCATAAATGACCAAGTGGCTAAAGCTGAAAAGCTGCGCATTTCTGCTGTTAAAATTTTTGTATCCTGCCTCTGCTTCCTTGAACCCCAGTCGGCCTCGGCAGATGACCGCTCACACTGAGCCTGTTTCTGCTGGGAGGTTTCCTCCTGTTAAAAGGGAGTTTTTCCTCTCCACTGTCGCTACAAGCATGCTTAGTGTCAGGGATTGCCTTCGAGTCAATGAGTCGATGCAATCAACTGGTTTTATTTAGATATAAAACTTTAATCAATTTGACTGTATGACCTGGTGGACTGTAAAGTGCTTTAAGATGACATGTGTTGTGAATTGGCGCTATAGAAAAAAAATGAATTGAATTGAATTTATGTCGACTTGCAATTCTGAAGGTGAAGGATGGATCATTTAAGTTATTCATTAATTTATTTTATCAGTTCAACTGTTTCGCTTGTCAACTGTTGTAAGCTGTCCGTGCTGTACTCTTTGTAACTCCCTGTTGCAGGTTAAAAACCTTTGACATGAAGTGGTGTAACTGGCATTTTTTTCTTTTAGTAAGGTGTTTATAGGAATTAACTTTTTTTTTTTTTTTAGAAATTAACAGATGATAAAGAACATTTTCCCTGTTTATCCATACATAATATTGTAAGGCATGATTGCTTAGAGGCACAAGTTTCTCAAATACATAATACGGCAGCAAACACAAAAAAATACTTCAAAGAAAATATTTGGCTTGCAAACACAAACAAATTAGACTTACAAAGACAGAAATAGGACAACCAAACACAAAACACACGTAAGAAAAAAACAGCTGAAACTGGCTAAATAACTGGAAGTTAGGAAAATCTACAAAGAACCTCTGCATGCTTGTGCTCCAAACTACTTGAGGTCGGCTGGATCATTCAGAGGGAAGGAAGAAAATAATGTTTTCCTAAATTATTTTTTTTAACTTATAAGTCCTATTGGTACTACATATAGACATGGAGCTATACAGATGACTACTACAAGAGAGACAGTTAACACTTGTTCAAAGTTATGGTTATGCAAAAAAGATATGGAACAGTAACGAAACAACTAAAAAGATTTTCTGGTGGATTTAAACATACAAAGTCTGCAACATATACAACTCTACTGATGCCTTTTCTAAACAGCCTTTTCTGGGCCATAGTGATACCTGGCCTGCTATTTTAATATAAACCATCCTCCTGAATGTTCACTTTTCATTGTTTGTGTGTCTTATTTTATGTTTGCTTGTCTCTTTTTGTGTTAGCAGTACTTTTTTGTATTTGTTGCGCATTTATAAATTTGCAGTGTATCTGCCCTTCTTTGTCACCATAGTGACACAGCCTACATCAACTAGTGTAAACATGCATTTTCTGGCTGTTATTCATTTTTTCAAAAATATTTTTTGTCTTCAAATAATGATAAAATGTATCCTAAGTGTAGGCGCTAGTCTTAAACAAAAGCGTTATGTTGAATCGATCTGAATTACGGCCTTAGGCCTTACTACTTTAGACTTTCAAGCTTGTATACTATTTAATGGCATTATAAAATGTCTCTGTGCTGTTGTTCTTCCTTATCTATACACATACATAGCCGGACTGAATTGGTACAGCTAGTTTGAGAGAGTAGGAAAAAAATAAGCTATCTACTCAGTTAAAACGAGTTCAGTAAAAATAAGGTTTGCAACACTACATGACAAAGCCCAATATTTGAGTAAAATGTTCCTTATAACAATTTAGAGTAAAGCTTAGATGCTTGGCTAAAGAAAAAGGCAGTATGATTGAAAAAAAGGAATTAGTATAAATCCAAAAAACATGTTTTCTAACTTGTGAATTGTCTGGTGGCTGTAAACCAGACCTGGACTCCATAGAGTTTCAGATTAATCTACAACCAAATCAAATGTGAGGCATTGTTCGGCACTGAAGGGGCTTCTCCTCTTTAGTGCTGGTCAGTCTTCCTACTTCCTTGTTTAAAATCAATTGCTGAATCCTAAGACTTGACAATTAAGAGAAAAAAATAGAATACAATAAAGACCAGATACATTTTGACATTTAAAATCCTTAAACTGAAATTAAATAGAACTTAAATAGTTATTTTTATGAACAGTTGTACATTTTGATATACATTTTCAATAGTTTTTATGCTAACAAAGATTTTGGTAATGTGTTCTTAGTTGTTTTAAAGTCAAATAAATGCTCAGTGTTGTGGATGTGTTTATAAGTTTAACCTCACCTGCTGGTAAAGATCAGAACCATCAGCGAAAAGACAGAGACGACCAGACAGTACATCAAAGTTCTCAATTTCTTCAAAGTAACCCGATCCAGATTGTGACTCATTGTAAAAATTAACTGATGGCTGACCGTAAGCTCTAGGATTGTTCCGACATGAAGATGGAGTAGCGCTATTATTCACAGGTTTATTTAATGGAAATCTGTCAGTACCCTGTTGCAGTTAACCAAAGTGGGTGGGATTTTAAAAAGGAACCAATGACATAGCTTATGTGAGCTGTGGGACATCTGATACTGCCTAACATTGCTGTAATTTTACATTAATTTTTGTTTGATTGCAGCCACAATCTCCATTTTCTTTCCCACTAAGAATTATGCAGTGGTATAGATATATACATATTTGTACAGAAATGGTTTCCAGGTGACAGGATCCGGTGGAGAATAAGCTGCGTCCAGCTGGACGCATGCATTCCTGAGTTTAATACTTGTATATGTTAAAGATTAACAGACCTTTTATCTATATACACAGCAGAAATGGTAGCAGTTATTTTGAAGTTTAGAGTGGGTGGGGGAGGTTAGACCGGACAGGGTGGTGATTTGCACCGATTCTAAAGCTGCAAGAAATTCATCAGAGTTTGTTTAGGTTATTCAGGTATGGAATAGATGTTCAGTTCTGTTGGGTTCCAGCACACGAAGCGGTGAGAGGACATATAGCAGACAACATAGCTAAAAAAGCTTTAGGAAAGAAAAATGTAGTTCAGATTCCATTTGGGAAAAGGGAAGGTTAATCAATAATTAAAAAGAAAGATACAGAATTATGGCTAAATATAGGATGAAGATGAGAAAGAAATTACAGATTCAAAAATCTGTAATTGTTAAAAATTACGGAGAAAGAAACAGAAGGGAAGAGATAATTAATACTAGATTAAGAACTGGACATACCTGACCGTGACTGAGTGGATGTGCTCTCTTCGTCCTCTGGCATGGGAGTTGCCTTGGAGCTCGTCTGCCGGCTGTGTGTTTCCTGGACGGGGCCGCCTTTTACAGCTGCTTTTTGTATCTCTGCTTCTGCTTCCTTGAACCCCAGTCGGCCTCGGCAGATGGCCGCTCACACTGAGCCTGGTTCTGCTGGAGGTTTCTTCCTGTTCAAAGGGAGTTTTTCCTCTCCACTGTCGCTACAAGCATGCTTAGTGTGAGGGATTGTATTTGAGTCGATGCAATCAACTGGATTTCCTTAGATAGAAAACTTTGTATCAATTTGACTGTATGACCTGGTTGAACTGTAAAGTGCCTTGAGATGACATGTGTTGTGAATTTGGCACTATATAAATAAACTGAATTGAAATTGAATTGAACCTACTTGAATGAGTTTTTGTGTGTACTAGGGAAGAGAAATAATGATTTATGTGAGGGTTGTGAAAGAAAAGAAAATGTGGATCATGTTTTGATGGATTCCATTAAATATCGAACTGAAAGAGAGAGGTGGGAGATGAGGAAAATAATGATGAGGAAAATAATGATGGAAAAAGGGAGAGATTGGAGTATTAAAACAATTTTAGGCACAGATTGAGATAGGAAGGAAAATTTGGTTGTTAGTAAAGCATTTTTGTTATTTTGAAATAACACAAAAATAGAAAATAGAATATAGTAGGTGAAACTATAGAGCTACACACTCATGTACAGTAGGTGGCTGAGGCACCTATAAGAACAAGAAGAATAAGAAGCTGGACGCATGTCTTCCTTGGGCCCCTATTGCACGGCTGGCAGTAAAGAGGAAACAAATCAATCGGTGTGGTGCATGCTGCTCTTATTTCCTGGTGGTAGGTGTCATCTCTCTTTGCACTATAGTCAGTGGTGTCAAAAGTTAAGTAACACATTTGTTACTTAACTATAAGTATAGATACTGCTGTTTTAAAACACTCTGGTAAAAGTGGAGGTTTCAACTTGACCTCTTTACTCAAGTAAAAGTGAAAAAGTATGTGCTCCAAAAACTACTTAAAGTAAAAAAGTATAAAATAACCTTTAAAAAACACAGCCAGATGTCACTGTCTAATTTTAAGCTCAATTTTTCGACTATTTCTAAAAATTCTTTGAGATAGGGCCAAGGATGAGGGAGGTCTTGTTGGTCTCCATCTCCCGATATACTCTCGCCTGTGTCCGACCTTTCAGAAATATCAACATCTTTTTCTGAATCCTACATTGTAGCATGGCATAGACAATTCACGTTTGCAGTTTGAAGAACACCTGCTTGCTTCTGATGATTTCCTTAGGCATCAGCACAAATTAGCCATATTCTATCTTTATATGACTCATCCGATTACACCAGTTTTCACTAGATGTGAATGGCACCAATGATCTGCATTGTATGGCACACATGACGTAAAATAAATATTTATAAACATTACACCAGGGGTAACCAATTAAAAATCAGCCGGGTCCGAATAAAGAAAATCATCTTCCAGTAAAGGTCCGTAGACATTTTTAATTATATGTTACTTTAAACAGAATTTAACACTGACATAAAATGAGGTGTTTATGCATGAATTTTCAAATTAAAAAATAGAACAAAAAGATGATTTTTTCATTTTAAAATCTGAAGTTTATTTTAAGCAAAAAATAACAATTGTTTTTTTTTTTTTTTTCTTTTTTCTGGCTTAATGAGAGCAGTGGGCTTTAGGCTGTACTGCAAGGCTTTAAACCTGCATTTGAATGGAGACACAGTCATTCTCAAGCACATATCAAAGTGCTCATTGAGCCTGGATCCATATATTTTTTTATTCTGGTCATGGTGGATGTTACGCCCACCAAGGACACAACATATTTGAGGACACGAGACAAAAATGAGGGTTCAAAAAAAGATATTTTATTAATAAATTCTCTCCGTTTTAGTTGTTCTTGGTTCGGCTTCTTCAGATGTTCTGCGAAGAGAAAAATAGTTAACGGCCCTCAAATCCCGTGCCCCAAAAAAAGAAAAAAAGAAACCCAAAGTAACAACAGAAAGTTGGACCTGGCAGGCCGATCAAACAGAATAAAACGGTACAGCAGGGGGCCAACCCTATACAGGGCCGTCGAAGCCCCTACTGGTACCGGACTAAAGGCAAAAGATAACCTAAGCGAAAGAAAAATCGAAAACAGGACTACCGGTCCCGCCAGGCCAAAAACCTCAAGAAAAAAGTAAGAAAAAGGTAACAAAAATACCACATGGCAGGCTGGAACGTCCGCTGCAGGCCGCAGCGACATGACAAGTGCGCACCGCGCACGATGGAGCAAATGAAGCAGGTGGGAAGTGGCGTCCAAACGAGGTTGGAAAGGAACGCGCAAGGAACGCGCTAACGTGCTGAAGGCCAGCCTATTTATAGGCGGACAACAGCACCACAAATTAACATAATTAACTTACTAAAAGAATCCTAAAATATATTAACAAAAGATCCTTCAACTAAAGTTTATAAGAAAACAAAGAAAAGAAATGGACAAAAATCATAATGTGCCTGGGGCACATAACACCCCCACCCAAAGACTCTGAATGGGGTCCGAAGCAAAGCTCAACCCATTCAGAGAAAAAAAAGGAAAGCGGAACTAGAGTCATGAGAGTGCGTCGGCCATGACATTGTCTGCTCCTCTTACAATAAAAACACGCTAAAAGGAAAGCGGGACTAGAGTCAGGAAAGTGCGTCAGCCACTACGTTGTCCCCTCTTCCTACAATAAAAACGCGTCACATAGCTCTCACATCCAAGACATGATCCAATGCGCTCTCAATGCCACCAAGCGCAGCAAATACATCCAATTCACCAACTTCAGTCTGCGTATTTCAAAAAACAGCTCTTCCCTCTATCAAAGCCAGCTGTCCAAAATTGACCTGAAGTTCCTTTAAACGACATGGATCAGCTGCACATGAGGTTTCCTTCGGCGATTCATCAAGACTCTGTTAAAACTGCAGCAGGAAAAATATCCTTCGTGCACTCACTAAAGACATCTAATGTGGCTCCTCGAGCAAACTCATCCAGGTCAAACTCCATGTCCACCCCTGGAATCTAGCCACACTAAACAGGAACACTCCATCCAATGTAGGCTCTCGAGCAAACTCATCCAGGTCAGACTCCATGTCCACCCCTGGAATCTAGCCACACAAACTGTCAAGCACACACACAAAGCCACAAAAACCCCAGAGTCAAATCGTCCAATCCACAATAACCTCAAAATGCTCGGCTTCCCGTGCATCTGCAGCTGCCCCGACACCTGCGTCATCTCGTTCACTGGAAACAACCGATAGATTTATGCAGAGCGGGCGCACGTTCATTACCAGCAACAGATCCTTTGTGCATTTATGCAAAGTGTCCAATGTGGGCCCTCGAACAAACTCATCCAGGTCAAACTCCATGTCTACCCCTGGAATCAGGCCACACCAAATCAGGAACACCTCTGCACTAACAAAGCTACAGCACCACCAGAACCGAATGCTCTAACTAATCAGCGCAACGCGCGTCAGCTGCGCAAAAATACACACAAACCCAGCACAACCGCCAACAAACAAGAACCAACCGTAGGACACGACCTGTCTCTAAAAGGCACACTTTGTTTAAACAAGCCCCCAAAAATATGTCACGTCCACCAAGGACACAACATATCGGAGGGCACTAAAGGCAAACATTGTTTTGACAAGCCCCCAAAAATATGTTACGCCCACCAAGGACACAACATAATCGGGGACACGAAAGGCAAACGCTGTTTAGACAAGCCCCCAAAAATATGTTACGCCCACCAAGGACACAACATATTTGAGGACACGAGACAAAAATGAGGGTTCAAAAAAAGATATTTTATTAATAAATTCTCTCCGTTTTAGTTGTTCTTGGTTCGGCTTCTTCAGATGTTCTGCGAAGAGAAAAATTGTTAACGGCCCTCAAATCCCGTGCCCCAAAAAAATAAAAAAAGAAACCCAAAGTAACAACAGAAAGTTGGACCTGGCAGGCCGATCAAACAGAATAAAACGGTACAGCAGGGGGCCAACCCTATACAGGGCCGTCGAAGCCCCTACTGGTACCGGACTAAAGGCAAAAGATAACCTAAGCGAAAGAAAAATCGAAAACAGGACTACCGGTCCCGCCAGGCCAAAAACCTCAAGAAAAAAGTAAGAAAAAGGTAACAAAAATACCACATGGCAGGCTGGAACGTCCGCTGCAGGCCGCAGCGACAT